TTAGGAAAAAGTGACCCATAAAAGGACCAGCATGATCCACGTGCACTCGAATCCAAGGATACTTGGGACATTCCCATGGATGAACTATGGATTGAGGAGGAGCTGATCAATTTTCCTGACAATTTTGACAAGTAGCAACTATAGTTTCTATGTCCTTATCAATCCCTGGCCACCATACATAGCATATTTGCTGCTTGGTCATGTACTACTACAGATACTTTTGAAGCTATCTTGAAATCATCTACTATCTGTTGTAGCTTACTAGCTATCTCTATTCCTGTATGCCGCTCTGGAAAACTGCAGGTTGTTAAAACATATGAGTGCAATGCCCATTCTTCCAAGTAGTGGCAAGTAACAGTAATATAAGCTTCTACAGCTCTGCTAGTCCAGATGTCGGTTGTTAGAGCGATACTTGTTTCCTCCTCCAACTTGACACGCAACACTTCTTTACAGCAATCATATTTGGCTTGTAGCAGGTTAGAAAAGTATTTCCTTGAGGGAATAGTGTAGCCAGGTTCCAATATTTCAATGAGAGATTTAAAACCTGAGCCTTTTACCATCCTGACTGGGTGAAGGTCGGCACAAATCATGTACAAGATGCGGTCCGAGATTGCTTTTGCTCTTGCTTCAGGACACTTCTTATGCTTGAGCATCGAGTCTAGCTTCATTTGAGATTGAGGCTTAGATTGACTGGAACCGCTGGCTGTTGAAACATATGATAGCGAGTGTTTGGCCATCAAATGATTTCGTAAATTAGTAGTACCACCTCTGTAGGCGAAGATATTGCCACAAGATTGACATTTGACCTTAGGCTGGCCATCTATCCTCTTGAAATATCACCAGACATCAGATGACCTGGTACTAGTAGTAGCTGCCTCAGCAAGTTCTTGTTGAGCTACTCCCGCCATGTTGTTTACAATAATTACTTAACACATGTAAGTGATAATTAATAGGTGTGGTTGTGCATGTGCGCATGCGTATAACTACACCGAAGCTTCGTTTTGAATGTAAAAAATTCGAATAGCAAATACTATTCAAACACTTCAAATGATTCGAACATTCTGCACACCATTATTAATAACTTTACCTCTCTTTTCTTTATTTATGTTACCTGCAATTGTTAATAAGATCCAGTGAAGAATGAAATCATTTTAAAGTGATAAGGTTTCTTGAATTTGTCTACATGAATAGTTTTAGAAGAGAGAGTCTTTTGAGAAAAGAGCTATAGCCACCTGAAGGAGAGAAATAAAGGAGGGAAGGAGGAGTGCTCCACTTCTCTCACGATTTGCTTGTACTTACTTAGCTTCCTTATTTCATTACCTCTATAACAAGGTGCCAAATTAGTAGACTTATTTGTATAGGATAGCGGACAAATTACACTAGCATAAAAATACTTTCTTAAATTGATGGCCCCAGAATCCCTGAGTATTATTGCATGTTTTAAGACAAGACCGAGTTTAAAGAAGAAATACCCTGAGCTCACCATTGCAGAAATTAGTAAGAAAGCTGGACAATTATGGAAAGAGTTAAATGATAAATTGGTAAGGGAAATGTGCATGGAATTGCATATTCATATGCATGGTATTAGTATCTATGTCTAATTCAGTCCATCATCAGTAGATGCCGTCCTATATTTTAAGGTTTTCCTTGTGAGAGGTTATAGTACAGGTTCCTTAATGACATTAGGACAAACATCCTTCATCAGTTAAACAGAGAGGTCTCTTACAAGTTTTTTATTAGAAATTCGGAGGTTTTAAAAATGGTCACAACTTTTAAAAATTGATGTCAAATTTGGCTCAAACTTTTCACATAACATAGCAACATCAATATGTATCATGGAAGCATTTTAAGAAAGCATAGATTGTAGTTTAAAGTTGCATGTAAATTAGAAAAATAGGGTACAGTTATTGTATGAACCACTGACACTTATAATTTGATCAAATGATAAAACAAATGGAAATCCTATAGAGCTTACTTACCTCATCAGGATATGCATCAATAGCATTTCATTAAAATGTAGGAGTTTTACTCCTTCCTCTACTGCATTGAGTGCATTCCTACTTTGAAAGACACTGATGCCTGAGATTAGAAGTAAACTCCAATTTATTGTGTAACTGAACTTTATTGTTGGCCGTTGGAGACTATATATGCAGTGCAGTCCATCGTACAGGCATTCTTTGATTTATGAGTGAAGGCAAAGATTTTAATAAAAGCTGCATGGAGATCCTTTTACTTGCTTGTTTGATGTTAAGCTTTTTGTTTTTTTTGCGTTTTTGGGCAAAAGAATAGTTATTCTGACAATGATATGCAACTAGAGTTTCTACTGCCTGAAGTTGAAGTTTCAGATTCCTTAAATGTGTATAAACTTCAACTTTTTTTGGTTTTCTCAAAATAAATTATATCTAGACTTTCTGGTAGCTCTTATTGTATCATATCTTTTTCTATAATAAGCTCTATTCTGCCTCTTTTTAAGCAAAGGATTAGAAAGCCTCTTTCCTCTAGCATAAAGTGTAGCAGCTAATCTTTTTAGTAATTATTAGCTAAGCATTCAGTTCTCTTGTTACTAGTAATTTGAAACTGATTTTTGTAATAATGCATTTGTACTGACATCCTTTTTTGGGAGCGATTTTTATTGAAATGAGCTCTCACTTGAGCTCGTTTCTGTTCAGGATTTTTATTAAAATGAGCTCTCACTTAAGCTCATTTCTTTTGAGGATTATTCCTGAAGTTGGCTGCCACCTCTGCTCGTTTTTTTTTGCGATTGTTTTTTATGCTTTATTTGTTTTTTGGTGAGTTTTGGTTTTTCTTCCAAATTGCGAATTTTACCACTATCTAAAGCACTAGATGTACATGTATTAATTTCATTTATAGCAATCTTATTACTTTTAATCATCAAAGGCATTAATACATTTATCACCCAAACTGCTGGAAACGCTATCAGACTCCAATGCAAGGGCCTCATCAGTATCAAGTTAGAGAGCTGATTTTCCATACGTTTAATCCGAGCAGATTTGGGATATTTCCTGTTCCGAGGCATTATTGCAAACTGCATGGATGTGGTTTTCCAGTTCACTTGTTCTTACACCACTCCATTCCACCTCATTCACAATCCCCTTCAGGCTATACATACATGTATACATGTTGTACCATGTATCTGTGCTATGAAGGTGGCATTATAATAATATTTTTAAAACACAATTAAAATCAGTGATCCCTATTAAAAGTCCACTGGATATTATAGAAAATGTTTGACTTAAATTATTTAATGTTTCAATAAATAAAATTATATACACTTATATACATCTACATAATATCCTATGTATACTTAAAGATGATGAAAGCAAAGTAAACAAAGAAGAAAGTGAAGAAAGAAGTAAGTAGAACAAAGGATTGGAGCCAGAAGATGAAAGACTGAAATTCGATGCATTCCTCATAAATGAAAAATTTGCAGTAACCAGCATTACTATCAAAATAATGTTTGTAATAAGTCTGATATCGACAGGTTTCAGCTAGAGAGAAGAGAAAAAGAGTATTATATTTAAAAGGGTCTCTTTATGACGCCAATAAGTCCCCCAGCATTTATCACTGCTTAACAGGTAGGGCACAAAGGCAGAAAAGCAGATGCTGGTTTGAAGCCGGTAACTATAATGAAATACATGATATGAAACTTAAGATGAATCAGTTCAGTGTAGTGAAAGTAGAATATCTTTATATTATATACATGCATGTATGTAGCTCCATGTGACATTACCTGACACTGAACTCAGTAACAGGCTCAGTGTAGTGAGACTGCAGAACAAAGGTAGAAAAAGTACTGGTTTTAAGTATAAAATATGACTGTAGAACAAAAACAGAAAATATATGAAATATTTTATTATCTATATCCATAATGACATGATGATAATTGAAAATCTATATTGGGCCCTGTGATATTACCTTACAACTCTGTAATGGCCTGAGATTGGCCTCAGTGACTGTATGAGAAGTTGCTCAGAACTGGAACTGCTTGGTGAGAAATAGTACGCACTAGGACAGGAAGGACTGGTGAAACCTTGGACAAACCTTGGAGAAAACCTCAGAAAAAAACAAATGTAACAAGCCTCAAAGTAATGTATTGTTGTTGTGAGCATGCACAATAACCGCAGGAAAATGGCATCCAACAACTTGCTGAGTCCACGTGTGCTTTCATAGAACTAGAAAAATCATCAGATCCAATTACAATTATCATGGCCCACTGCACTAGCGTCTCTAAAGTACATGAGAATGGTGTAAAAATCACTTTTCTACGATAAAAACTCTAGGAGGAGTTCTTCCTTAACTGTGGAAGAAGAAGAAGAAGGAGAAACCTGAACATTTGGTGCATGCAGGTATGCATGCATTTATTTGCCGTTAAGCTATCTATGGATGTTATTTACTACTTTTTATAAGACTGCCTTCCTTTTCTAGATTTATAAATTGTCTATTTCACAGTACCGTTTATTACATACATGAGGATTGGTAATAGGGGGGAGCATTAGCAATGTTACTGCCATCATTTTGTATTGCAGGATTGATGGTTGTTACTGTGTTGTTAATGTATTTAATAAGTTCTTCTTGTAGAGTTGGATTTGTTGATGACATTATTGTACTAACGTCAGGTGCATCTTTTAACCAGGCAATCCCATGAATGTGTGGACTAACCCTATGTTGATATTCAAATCGTAGCCAGTAGTCTTTTGCTTTCAAAATTTTTTTATAAAATATATCCATGAATTTTAAGACACGATGGTAAAAAAAACCAATCAGCAAGGCAAGGATTATTAATGATTGCTTTAGACCTAGCAATACTGCAATTAGGATTTTCAACACCAAGAAAATGAGCTAATTCAGGCCACTATAGATCAGCAGCACTGTGTGTAAAAAAAACAGTAGGGAGTCCTAACGTATCTACCATTGCAGTTAAACGTCTCCTTTGTTTTAACCAAAATTGACGAGTTCCGTGAATATTGATGCCAAAATGCAAAACCTTGTTTGTAAATGGGTCACTATGTTGAATCATGGTACGTAATTCTTCAACTGTTAATTGTTGCTCATGGGGATTTTGTCTTATAATAAATATGCGTCCTGTATCCAAAGCCCTATGTCGCATTATAGTGTTCAATGCAAAATATCTATTATGATAGGAATGAAATTATTTCATATAAATTATTACTCTACTAAGTAATTATTATACCTAAAACGTGGGTGTTGAGCAAATCTTCTATCATGTGATAGCATCATGTGTTTAAAGTAATCAGCAAGACAAGATAATCAGCTATTCCAGTAGGAAAAAGGGTTGGAAATGCACATGTTATATAGCCTTCTGTTGTGAATTCATTTATAGGTTGTCCAATTGTAGGAGGCCAATTAATGATATGACTTTCGTCTTGCTTTCGTTTATTGATTTATGTATGGCCTCTTGTTTATTGAATCCAGTTACTGACATAGGAAGAAATGTACTGGATAGGTTAGCAGTGTAAGGGTCTTCATTTTCAATTGTAGGATCAATGTTTATCTCTTCAGATGCTTTAACAATGATCATTTTAACACCTTTTAACTCACCATCTTCTGGAAGTAGGGCCAATGTGTTTTGGTTAATAGTGACATCCCTGTAATACATACCATGAAACGTTGGACTCGAAAATCTTTGTGAGTCCTTGTAGAATCTTCCTTTCTTACAATTATTGCATCTATATTATTTGGATCTCTTGGTAAGGAT